ATCTGACTTTCTGCCTCATTCACGCACAGTTGCAGGGTCTCATTTGTTTCTCTTACCATTGACAACACAACATACATATATTGTTTCTCACTCTTGATCTTTTTTTTCATTTTTGTATTTCTTTATGGTTTATTATTATTATTATTATTATTATTATTATTATTATTATTATTATTATTATTATTATTATTACATTTCGCCCCCCAGGCCCCGATGTAGGTCAGTGACGTGTGCCCGGGTGAGCTAATTCCCGTAAAAATAATAATAAAGTTGACCTTTTATGAAATAAATAGTACAAAGCACACCCCCAGGGAAAGGTTGAATTGAATTGAATTGAAACCGTTTATTTCGCCAGAAAAACACAGATACAGAGTGAATAATAATAACAATATTAACATGGCTGAGCCAGTTGAGAACCTGAGCTCTCTTTTAGGCACCTGATATATACTATACATTTATCTCAAGGAAGTATTATGTAACATTTAGTATCATCTGGAATAGTACAATAGCACGGTGGTAATAAGAACATCTCATAATGTTACCACGGTTATCACTTCAATATTTATTTATTTTATTTATTTATTATTTATTTCTTTTTGTAGTTAATCTTTTTATTTATTTATATATGCATAAATTACAGTGGAATTGAAAAAACATAAGTATAATGGGGGAGCAGTACAAAATGGGTTGTACAGTAATAAGGTTGAACAAGAGGACAGAGCTGTCAGGATTATGTTCAGTTGGCAATTATGTTTATTGCAATGGTAATTACTTATCTATTTATATGATAATTTCAGATAAAAAAGTTTTGATGGATGGTACAATAAAAGCAGATACTATAAATATAGTAGGTGTTGCAAGAAATATTATTACTTAGACAATAGATATTTTTTAAGAGATGATTTAAAGGAAGGGAGTATAGTCTTTGCTCGGATGGGTGGGGGTAAGTTATTCCAAACCTTCACATGGTAATATTTTATGGAGGTCTGGGACTGAGAGGAGCGCATGGGGGGTGGTTTTAGTAGCTCTGGGTGCCGTACGTTGTATCTCTGATTATTCCGGAACTGGAAATAATTATTGTCAAGCAAGTGATTGATAGATTTGTAAACAAAGAGGGCACAGCAGTGGGTGTTAATATCTTCGAATTTTAAAATTTTCAATATAGCAAATTTTTCGTTTGTGTGATCTGTTTTTTCAAGTAGGTCATTGTCCGTACAACTCTCTTTTGTGCAGTAACCAGAGATTGTGTTTTTGAAGAGCCAGAGGCCCCCTATAGTGTGTGACAGTGTATCAGGTGTTGGTAAACAAGATCATGATAGATTTCTTTCATTGCTGTGAGAGTGAGTGACTGTCGAGTGTGATACATGATACCGCACTGTTTATTGACTTTACTGTGAATGGCTTGTATGTGGTTTCTCCAGTTAAGTTTCTCATCAACAATAACTCTGAGGAATTTAGTATTTTGTTCGCGTTTGAGGACTGTATTACCAAGGTACAGGGGGTCCAAGTCTGGGGGTAAGTTTTTCCTTCTGTGAAAGATCGTGTAGTGGGTTTTCTCAAGGTTTAAGGTCAGTTTATTACGTATTACCCAGGTCCTGACTTTAGTTAATTCAGTGTTCATAGTTCTCATCAAGGAATGGAGGTCTGAGTTGCTGGCATAGAGATTACTATCGTCTGCAAATAAGTTGTATTTTATGAGTGTGCTGGCGTGGACTATGTCGTTTATGTACAACAAAAACAGTACTGGACCGAGAATGGAACCTTGGGGGACGCCATACAAGATTGGCGAGGAGTCAGATTGGTGATTATTATAGCAGACATACTGCATCCTGTTGGACAGATATGAGGTAAACCAATTGTGGGACAGGCCCCTAACGCCGTAATGTTCAAGCTTTGAAAGGAGGATGGTATGGTCGACAGTATCGAAGGCTTTAGAGAGGTCCAAGAATATACCGACTGTGAACTGACTGTCATCAAAGGAATTTAAGATGTCATTAGTAAAGGATAGCAGAGCACTCTCAGTCGACCTTCTAGCTCTAAATCCAAACTGGGAGTCTGTAAAGATGTTATTGGCATTGCAGAAGGAATTTAGTCTATTACATGCTAGCTTTTCCAGTATCTTACTCAAGGCTGGGAGGACTGATATGGAGCGGTAATTCTTGAAGAGACCTTTGTCCCCAGATTTTTTATATGCTGGGTGAACTTTAGCAATTTTCAGTTTATCCGGAAAGACACCACTAGTGAAGGAGGAGTTACAAATGTGTAGGAGAACAGGTAGTAATAAGTGGGCTACTTTCTTAATGATGCTCATTGATATATTGTCTTCGCCTGCTGCTGCATCTTTGGACATTTTTATGATGGCCAGTAATTCATCTGCTGTGACAGGAGATAAGAACAGCTCATTTTGCTGTCTGTTTTGCAGGTAGGCTCTAAATTCCCCATGGTGATCTGGGATGCTCTCTGCAAGATTTTTGCCAACATTAATAAAATATTCATTGAAGTGGTTGGCAATGAGGGAGGGTTCCGTTATAACTGAATCGTTTATCATAAAAGCTGAGTGGGGGGCCGAAGGCTGAGTGTTCCTGTTCTGAATAGAATTTATGACATTCCAGGTTTTCTTACTGTCGCCTGATGCTGACTGGAGCTTATTTGTATAATAGTTACGTCTGGCATTTCTAACTGCTTGAGTTACTCTATTTCTGATACTTCCTTAAGCATCACCGAAAGTTATGGGTCTTTTTGCAAATTTCCTTTGGAGTTTGTGTTTTTCCTTTATCATTATCTTAATTTCGCTTGTGATATAGGGTTTGGAAATGGATACAGTTTTCACTGACTTAGTCTTGAGCGGGAAGCATTTATCAAAGCAAGCATTGAAGATGCAAGAGAAGTTACAGCTGTTCACGTTAGGGTTGTCGGAGGCATAGACAAGATCCCAGTTAGCATTCATTAGGTTGTTTTAAAAAAGGAGCATGTTGTCGGCGCAGTAGTCTCTGTATTGGATTGAGACTCTACTAGACCTTTCAGGTCTTGTGGCTGTTTTATACATGGCAAAAACTGGGAAGTGATCTGAGATATTGTTATAAATAATTCCACTTGCTAGGTTGTTAGGAGTGTTGTTAGTCCAGATATGATCTATCACAGTGGCAGAGGTGGCAGTTACTCTAGTGGGTTTAGTTATAAATAGCTGAATGAAAGAACATTGAGGTTTGTTTCTTGATTTTACACTGGGGTTGTCTATGTAGCAGTCTTTCCTCTCTGAACTTATGATAGAGATAAGCTCCGAAAATTTATCAAGAAAATTCCTTACATTAGTGTGGGGTCTTCTGTAGATTATCCCTACTAGGATATTTCGTGTGTCGTTACGTAATTCAATGAAAACACTCTCCATGTACTCCTCCTGAACCTTTAAATCATCTCTTACAGAAGTGTTATACTTGATATCAACATATAGGGCGACACCACCACTGTGTCGTGACGTGTTGACGCAGTGTCTATTATAATTAGGAATGTTATACAAATGGTCAATATCGTTAGTGAGTTTGGTCTCACAGAATCCAATTACATCAAATTTGTGGGCAATAGAAGATAAAAACGGATCTACAAAGGTATCTAGATGAAGGGGAATACTGCTGATGTTATGGCTAATCAAGGAGAAGGAATGAGGTAGGAGGAAACTAGAACTAAACTCAGGAGAGTCAGGAAAGTGATAGTTACAGTTTGGGTTGGTGTAACCCAGTGAGTTATGCAGAAAAGCATCAGGATCGATATGAGGGAGTATTGTGCGTAACAGAGATGTGACCGACCGCCCAATCGGGTAACGAGCAAATCAGTGGCGAAGAGGATAAAAGTAAAACACTAAAATACGGCGTTGCGGAATGAGGTGTAAATATTCCATAGACTTCTTGCGTAAGTCAAATTTGAGGTCTGGGTCCGGCCTAGGGTTTCCTGTTTTGGGGGTTTCTTAGCATCCCGGGATTCTGGGACAAACCAGGATATTTCCCGGGATCCCGGGATTTCCCGCATCAGGTGATATTTGTACTAACTAATGCTGTATACTAACCCTATACTTCATTAGTGTAGTATCTGTAGATTATTTCTTAGGCAATTGATTTGATAAATTATATTACACTGAAGCAAAGTTCTCTTTATTAACTTGCATACTGGTGTAAAAATAGGTACACAATATGATTAAACAAGCAAATTTTTAATTAATCTCATTCCGTTAGCCACAAAAGAAACTCACAGACATTTGGAATGGCATTCAAAGTTAGCTATTCTACAATGTAGCAAATCAGAGATAAGGAATAACAATAAGCATCCCGGGATTTGAACCAAATTCCCGGGAAAAAAAACATAACCACTTACGCCCAAGATCCAGGGAAGGAAACCCTAGTCCGGCTCTAACATCAAGACATACCTAGTCCCTTTGGTCCCTGTTCACCTAGCAGTAAAGCAGGTACCTGCTGTAAATCGAAAGTTGCGAATTCGTATTCAGGGACAAGTTGTTGGAGCTTCCAATAACTTGCTTAGACATAAACCGTTGACTCTTCAGGCTTCTACGCCCTTGACTCTTCAGGCTTCTACGCCCTTGACTCTTCAGGCTTCTACGCCCTTGACTCTTCAGGCTTCTACGCCATTAACTCATGAGACATAAGGCAAGCATGAACTGAGCATGCTTCCCTGTTGGGCGCTGTAAACGCTTCTGTTTCACCCACAATAAGGATAATAGGTGCTCACCTCCTCCCCAAAAAATAATACTATCTCATTTAAAAAGGTTCATGAGAGTATGGTTTACTTTTACTGGATGTAACTTTGTACTACGGCTTAAGGCAGTCAGCTAGAATTACGACTACACCACTAAGTAGGAAAAAATAAAGTACGAACTTTTGATAATCCAGGTCCATAATTTCCACTGTCTTGCTTTCCAGAGGAAGAGAGGAAGAGGAGAGGGAGGAGGAGGAGGAGGAAGCTATTGGCGGCAGGTGGCGTGGTGAGTGTTATTTAGTCATCCTGGAGTAAGGAGTTGATAGAGATAAATTTCATTCAGTAAAATTATTGTCAATACACGTTGACACTGATTCAGTCTGGCTGGTGTTCATATTATCTTCACCTTATATAGCAGCACTTTATTTACCACACACACGACAAGGAAAATTACAATGTACACACCAGTCAATAAAAACACCGTGAACTTAATTAATATATCATTATATACATTATATGTGTGAATGATAAAAAATTAAAACACCTTGAGATATTGTAAACTTGATTATATAGAAGTTATATAATTCATGAAACTCTTCGTAATGTTAGCGATGATGACCTATGATTTTTTTTCGTGTTTCAGAAAGCGACCGACTCTTTACTCCCGCGGACACGTTGAATGTTCTAATAACTTTTTGTAATGCCAGGTGAATGTGTATGTTATGTGTACATGTATATTTACGTATGCACGTATATGTACAGTATCTAAAATAACTATCTGTGCATACTTTGTGGGAAACAATATGAGACCCTGGACGATAAATTTTGGTATATGAGGGCTATCACTAGTCACACGTAAAATTTCACTCGTCTCCGCAAGGTGGATAGCCCACCTGCTGTTAACATCCTCCTCTATTTCCCACTTCTGAACTTTACCTTATACTGTACCCTTCTTGCACCCTCAGAGCTAATGCTCTCTTCTCTCTGTATCACCGACCGACGTAAAATTTCGGAACAAATCGACCCTCACCTGCACAGATAGTTGTTTTAGCTACTGTACGCGTTTGTGTAAATGTTTTCATATGCATAAGTATAAGGGTTTTGACTATTTTATTATAAAAGTAGAACGGATCATCTGAAGAATCTCCACCCCAGCTTATTTCACCTAAAGATTAACCACCCCAACGCTAATCTAACCTAACCTAATCTAATCTCATCCTCCAAAATAACGTTAGGGTGGTTAATCTTTAGGAGAATATATAATTTACATATAATTTACATTCACTCCTAGAGTGAATCCCGTAAAATAATTAAGACTCACTACAGTTGTTTGGTCCCTCTGTGGTCATCGAATAGCCTATACAGTACTATCCGCCTTGTATCTCACCTCGATGTTTTAACTCCCCGCCTCAGAAAATCTGGGGAGGAAGGAAGTGTTGGGGCAGCTGATGTAGACGAGGAGGGCCCTTTGTACGCCCAAGAAGGAGAGGAGGCCGCCCGCTGGTCCTCCTTCCTCAACAACTTCTGCAAGAGGATTAGGGTGTGGACGGCCACCAGAGACGCTCTCACTCAGTACCGCGACGTGCTTATAGGTGGGTTGAGGTGTTAATTATATATATATATATATATATATATATATATATATATATATATATATATATATATATATATATAGAAAGAAAGTACATATATATATATATATATATATATATATATATAGTAATCATTAAAATCTGATATACGCCCAAGAGAACCTTACGAAATAAGGTTAAGTACATTATTAATGAACTTCGACCACAAAGACACTCCCTAGCATACACCTGTGGTCACTCAGCCTCTACTGTGATTGACCTTCTTAATTATTCCTCCGTCAGGTCGGCTGGAGGAGATGCGTAAGGTGGATCGTCTTCGTCGGGAGAACGCAGAGCTCAGGTTTCTCCTGCAGGGTGTTGTGAACGATCTGTAACCTGGGGCCTAGCTGCTGCTTGGGTGCTTCCTGTGCCGTTTCATCAGTGACAAGTTTTTCGGGTTTTACTGGAATTCTTATCAGTTAATCATGTCTGTTCCCACCAATTGTTTGATATATGTTGCTATTGTTATAAAAACTGTAATTTACTTCGTAGTCCAACAGCTCTGGCCATGCTTTGGATGATAATAACGCCAGTGAATTTCCTCTTCGTTTTAAAGGCTTGTTGAATAATTAATGCACATTTGGTTTTCGTTTGTCTGCACAATAATATTATCTTCTGTCGATTGTTATGATGATTACTGCGATAACAGAAACATAAACAAATGCATAATAAATATCAAAATGTTCATCTTTTTCCCAGCCCTGGTCTTAATTTGGATTACACACACACACACACTGGTTGATTTGTCAAGAACGTTGCTGAGATCAATATACTTATTGTTACGTTATCCTTTTCACCAACGATCGGCTTGTCAGCTGCGTGAGCGGTCGATTACGTCTCTGTTATGCAATGTTGGCAAGTACTCTTCTGGTTCAGTATGTATCTGTACCTGCGGGGAAGCATCTCACTCTTGAAGATCGAATAGGATAGAGCTCTTGTAATTTGCCCAAATTTATGAATAACAAAGGAACATAAGTGGAAATTAAGTAGATACGCAGTTCTGTGAATATACGGAGGCATACAGGAAGGTAAGCCCATCAATTTTTTGTATATACAATAAAGAAGAAGTCAAAATGAGTGAGACCAAGGATTCAGGGGACAGGAGGAAGGCAAGTGTCAACAAACATGGCGGAAAGAAGAACGCCGAAATGTGTGGAGAATGTGGATTAACAGTCAAGGATAGCGACAAAGCAGTTAGCTGTGATGTTTGTGAAGTGTGGTTCCACATCGAATGTGAAAAATTACCAGAAGAGGTATATAACTTCATGCAAGATGAGGAGGCAGAAGGAGTGTTGATGTGGTACTGCAGTCACTGCAAGAAGGGTTGTGCTAAACTGCACAAGTACATTAAAGGATTTGAACAACAACAGGTGGAACAAATGACCAAACAAAATGAATTGGAAGGCAAAGTAAATCAACTGAGAGAATTTACAGCACAAGAACACGATAAGAATAAGAAGATAGAAGTCAGGCTGGGTATATTGGAGGCAAAATCTGTTGAAATAAATGATGTGTGTTGGAAACAAATGCTAAGAATGACAGGGATTTTGAAAACAGACTGGGAACCTTGGAGGCTAGAACAGTGGGTTTAGAAGGGAAAGTAGATTATAACAGGGCAACAGGTAGTGCCACTGAAGTGAAACAGGAAGACAACACAGGGAAACCAGAGCCTGTTGGTGAACTTATAGAGGAATTAAATGAGAGAAAGAAGAGGGAAAAACAACATAGTGGTATATGGTGTGCCAGAATCTGGATCCCCAACAATGAGCGAAAGGATTGAGTGACAAATCTTGTGCACTGAACCTAATAAAAGAATGTGGCATCACTAGTGGCCAGAAGTCAATAGTTAAAGTGATTAGGCTGGGTAAATTTATCCAGGGAAAAGCTAGACCTATGCTAATCAAGTTATCTACTGCAGATATAAAGGCCAACCTATTTAGAAACATCAGGAACCTGCAAGGTAACATGAAATTCCAAGACATAAGAATAGCCAATGACTTAACTAAAAGGGAGAGAGAACGTGAAGCTGTCTTGTGGCAGGAGGCAAAAAACTTAATGGACTCAGGGAAGGGGAGACACAGAGTGGTGGGTCCTCCGTGGAGGCGAAGAGTCGTCAAAATAGGGTCCAAGAGGATTAAGCGAAGTAGTGAGGCCCAAAGAGGAGAAACATGTACATACCGGTAGTGTAAATAGTGTAAGGAAACTGAATAAAAATAGGAAAAAACAAGAACTTTTTTAATGTAAGTAAATTTCTTATTATGTTTAGTAATGTTGATGTGTTGAGTTCAGATAAGTTACTGGAGTTAAATGCACAGTTGAAGGGGATGGAAAATACTCCGCAAGTAATAGCCCCACAGGAGGTAAAGCCAAAACACTATAGATATGAACGGATTACAGCAGAATATAACCGGGAAGGATATGACATTATAGAGCACAATCTCCTTAATAAGGAAGGGAGAGGTATGTTAATATATATTAGGAAAGGAACCAAATTTTACAGTGTTGAACATGATACTAAGTTTTGTGAATATTGCTGTATAGAAGTGCCATATAGTAGTGGTAATTTACTATTTACCTCCATTTACAGAAGTCCTAATAGTGATGAAAGCAATAATACTAATTTGCTCCAACTTATGCAGGAAGTCAATGATAAAAATATGCTTTATAAAATAATTGTAGGTGATTTTAATCTTCCACAAATAAATTGGAGTAATTATACTTCTGTAATGGGACTGAATGATGTTGGTATCATGTTCATTGAGAAAGTACGGGAATGCTTTCTCACTCAACATATGCTGTAGAGGAAATCACCAGGATAAGAGGAGACAGCACAGGCAATACCCTTGACCTGTTGTAAAGTAAAAAACAAGTGTACATATATGAAAAAGCAAATTACCTACTCATGAAGCAAAGGATTACGATGGATTGGATCCAATACTTATCATTGGAACCAGATATTAAAAGTAAGTGGAATAAGTTCAAAAGAAAATTCCAGGCAGTCATTGACGAGTGTGTCCCTAAGAAGATAATCAGAGGACTGAGGGTTAGCAGAAAAAGAACAAATGAAAAATTACCTATGAACAGGAGATGCATCTGGAAACTGAAAAAGAATACAGGAGATTAAATAACCAGGTTAGATGGGAAACAAAAAACATCTTGAAACGTAAAGAACAAGAGATTGCGAAAAATGTTAAGGCAAATCCAAAAGTGTTCTGGAAGTACAGTATGTACAGACAAAAACAAGAACACAAGCTAGAATTGCGGATCTTTACTGCGAATGATCAAGAAAAGGCAGATGTACTCTCAGAGCAATTCTCACGAGTTTTTATTAAGGAACCAGATAGGGGGATACCAACAGCCAACAAGAAAGACGTGCCAGCTCTTGAACACCTGGAGATAACCGAGGGCAAAATAAGAAAGGTGATTCAAAAATTGAAAAGACAAAAGTCTCCCGGTCCAGATGGGTTACATCCAAGAGTTATTAAGGAGATGATGGAGGAACTACTTCAGCCTCTGAGGATCTTGTTTGAAAGCTCTTTTCAAGAAGGAAATATACCTGAGGACTGGTGTATTGCATATATCACAGCTATCTATAAGAAGGGAAGTAAACATGAACCAGGAAACAACAGGTCAGTCAGTCTAACTAGTGTAATCTGCAAATTAATGGAGTCAATATTACGGGAAGAGATGATATCCCATATGAAAAAATATGAATTGTTTAGTAATAAACAGTTTGGCTTCATTTCCGGCAGGTCAACAGTCCTACAGTTGATTAGGGTACTAGATAGGTGGACGGAAATTATCGATGACAGTCAGGCTGTGGACATAGTGTATTGTGACTTCATGAAGGCTTTTCATAGAGTACTCCACAAAAGACTATTAGAAAAGTATCTAGTTATCGCATTGATGGACAATATTTTGATTGGGTAAGGAATTTTTTAACAAAGAGAAAACAGAGTTGTGGTAAATGGAGAAGTATCTGACTGGAGAGAGGTCACTAGTGGGGTCCCTCAGGGTTCTGTCCTCGGCCCCCTGCTGTTTGTCCTTTTTATCAATGACCTGCCTGAGGCAATTAAACACGATAGTGAGGTATATCTATATGCGGATGACACAAAGATTTTTAGGAAAATAGAACGAGATGAAGATTGTGACATGCTGCAGGAGGACCTGGATGGAATCAGGGGTTGGACTGAGAAGTGGATGCTGAACTTTCACCCAGAAAAAAGTAAATACATGAGGATAGGAAGAACAAAAGTTGCTGACCAGGGATATCATATGTACACCGCGATCAAGAAGACCACTGTAGAGAAGAATATACAGTAGGGGTAGTCATCGATGATAAGCTGACGTTCTCTGACCATCTAGCTGAGAAAATCAACAAGGCTAATATAATAGTGGGCATTATTAGAACTTTTGTTCATCTGGATGCACCTATATTCAAGGCTCTGTACACTGCTCTGGTTAGGCCACACCTTGAGTATGCTAATCAAATTTGGTGCCCATATCTCATTAAGGATATTGAAGCAGTAGAGAATGTACGGAGGAGGGCTACCAAATTAGTACCACAGATCAAGGATTTATCTTATGAGGAAAGACTAAGGAAATTACAGTTACCGACACTGGTGTACAGAAGATCTCGTGGGGACCAAGTGGAAACATACAAGATAGTGTGTGGCATATATGGCCAGGCATGTATAGCAGGAATGTTCCAGATGAGGGAGGATGACACTACCAGGGGGAACACAAATAAGATCTACAAAACAAAAGCGAGGCTAAATCTCAGAAGATATTCGTTCCCGAGTAAGGTTGTCAACAACTGGAATGGGTTACCTGAATGGGTAGTGAATGTGGAGACGGTGGAAAAGTTTGAAGCAAAATTAGATAAAACTGGAAAAATCAAGATCAAGTATATAATTATAGGGCACAAATATCCGCCACACGCAGCCACCGTCTGAGTAGAGAAGAGGCTATTGAGCTGGAGTCACAGGCGTGAACCTCTTCCAGAAGATTATCTGTGAGTATCTGTGAGTATACATTCCAGCTGCGAACTATAGACAAGTTATGGGCCACCAGTGGAACAAGTTATGGCCCAACAGTGAACAAATTATAGCCACCACTAGTGAACAAGTTATAGGCCACCAGTGAACAAATTATAGCCACCACCAGTGAACAAGTTATGGGCCACCACCAGTGAACAAATTAGGCCAGGGAGCTACAGTACATAACCATAGTGGTCTACAGTAGTGCCGTCGTTCTTGGAATAAATAAACAAACTCCTCACTTTCTTTCCATTACCAGAACACACACACACACACAAGGCGGTCATCTCTCGCTAAAATATACAAGAAGAACACGTAAGGAGAGAGGGAGGGGAGAGGGGAGGGGAGGGATGGGATAGAGGGGAGGAGTGGGAAGAGATGAGGAGGGAGGAAGAGAAGGGAGAGGGGGGGGAGAAAGAGGGGTGAGGGGAGGTAGGGGGAGTGATGGGGCTCAACACCGGTGATAATACGCGAGACAAAGCCTCTTACATGAACCACCCACCAGATACTCATTATTAACCGAAGCTATGATCCCGAATTATACCGAAACATTACGTAACTCGGAACCCACGCAACAGTCCCATATATAGTCGTATGGTGTTGACA